CAGAAATCCTCCTATCTGTCTTAAGGCAATGTCTGCCTGCTCAATGTCTGCCAGTTCTGTGGCTTCCAAGCTTGCCTGTGCTATTTAAGTGAGTAGAGAAAATGTCTGCTCTTCCGAGTACCTGAACTAAAATCTTAGATACCTCCTTAGAACCTTCCTTTCAATGAGAAAAGCATTATGCTTGTCTTAGAAAAAGATGAAATCTTGTTCTTCAACAAAGGAAATCCACTTTTAGAAAGCAGCTAGGCTTTCTTTGTACCTCTGCAGTGTTATGCTGTTTTGGCAGACTAGAGACAATGAGCAAGACCAGGTAAATGGGGTAAATCATTTATTTCAAAGCTCAATCTAAAAGTAGACTCCCTTGAAAACTGGGGTGAAATATGTAGTAGGGTGTTAGTTCCTTTTCAGCTCATCCATCTATGAGCCTGATTGCTTTTTCCTGCCACGTTCTTTTGCTTTAAAGGTAGGATTAGCTGTTGCAGGGGAAACAAAAAAGGCCAAACTTTGTTCATTATGATTCATGATTAAGAAAGAGACTGGACAAACAATTTCCAGATCAGGTTCTCTGTAACAGAAATTGATCTTACAGTTCTCATGGTGTTTAAAACTTACAGTGTGTGTCAGGCAGTGAAATCAGTGTTCTGCTTGTGGGCTTCTGAAATAGAAATGGAACTGCTATTAAAACTGACACTGTCATCAGCTCATCCTCATATTTACAAGGCTGAAAGTGAATTATAATTTCTAATCGTACTTCCTTTTAGCAAATGATAGTAATATCCTGAGTGTCAGCTGCATGAGGCCAGGAAAAACATATGGACAAGGCGCGATCTTCCCAGAGGTGTGCTCAGAACACCGTGAGATGCTCAGTCCAACAGCACCCTCTATGTCCTACGAGTTTAAGCGCATCTCAGTGCATCCCTCACAGATGTGATCTGTGTCAGGTGGCGATATCACTGACGATGCATTTTCTGGGCAACTTATCGTTTGATCTCAACGGCATACGAAGGTTAAAAGCAATTATTAAGCAGAAGAGTAATTAAAGCCTTGGTGAACAAAATAAAATGTGGTGGAATCGAGCTTCTTGCCAACTCTCTCAGTGCTAGGAAACCAATAATCCAGGCAAAAGAACAGAGGCTATGATTCACTGAAGAGTGCATTATGTAGAGTCTGTGAACATTTTAGGGAACGACGGCATTATACAGTGGTGCAGGCATTACATGGTGGGGACTACATGGAGGATGATTTGCAGAAATATTACACTGTCTGTATATATGACGCTATATTAGCCTAGATAATTGATCATAATTATTCTGCACGCAGATAATGTCTCAAAAGTTTCAAATACATATAAAGCATTATTCTGCAAATCATCCATCTTGTATTGCTCACCTCAACATAACACTCACTCCTCCCTATAAACCCTGCACTTTCATATAATGCCAACCTCCTTGTAACCCTTACCCCCTCTATGTGACACCCTCTTCAATATAACTGTCCTCCATATGGTATCTGCACAGATCCATATAACACCCTATTTATATAATAACTCCCTTAGAATTGCCTTCATCCAATCTCAGTAGCACAGAATAAATTCTCTGGCAGTGGATGTTAAGATAATATACATTTAAAAAGTTTCACATTTTACAGTGATATAAATAAAGAACTGAAAGAAAGCTTCACTCCCAACAAAAACAAGGTATCTCCACGTTCCAATTCAATCCCTATCATTAAAAAAAAAAAAAAGACCATAACTGTTATTTATGTCTCTAATTTATTGTCACTGTAACACCCATCTAAATATATTGTCTATCCCTCCATATTATGTGTGCACCTCAATAAAATGCTTCCTCCAAATAACAGTCCCCTTTGTATAATACTTCATAAATAATCCACCATGTAATACTTTCAACACTCACCTCAGTATAGTGCTTGCCCCTCCATATAACCCATGAACCTCAGGATAACACAGCCTTCCATATAGCCTCTATATAATAGAATAATTCATCAGGTTGCACACTCTAAGATAATAGAAATATGAAGGTTCACATTTTACAGTCCAATAATTCACATTTTATAGTCCAATAAAGAACTGAAACAGAGTTGTGGTTTAACTCAGCAAGCTGCCAGTGGGGTTTCTCTACACATGTAAAACTACATGGTGATGCAGGATGTGTACCCACTGTATCTGCTCTCTTGAGTTGAGAAATCCTTACTGCTAATAGCTGAGATACTGGTCCAGTCAGGTGAGGAGCAACACATACTGTATGTCCAGGCTATTGGCCCTGTTGTCCCAACATCATAGTAGTCAGGTGACAACGTGCTCATTTGGATGACAGATGAAGTCTTTTAGCATATCTCAAAGCTTGTCCATAGTAAGGGTTCAGATGTTTATTGCCTTCCTCATGAGTACTGACTCTTCTTCCACTTATCCTCATGATGGCCCTCCTTCATCTTCTTCTTCCATCTCATTCTAGTAGGACTTTATTTCCTTACTAAATGAGCTGACTTTCACAGCCATTTTTTTTTTATTCTTGTGTAGAGGAGTTGAACCACAGGGCCTCTTGCAGGGGTTGGAGCAACCGCATGGCCTATATGGAGAGTGACATTGTATGGAATATAATTTAGGAATTACACCTGGCTTGTTTAACCTATGAACCGCATTTGGCCCAGCCCATCTTGTACTGCAGCCTCCCACTGCCCAGAGCCATCATGGCAGCAGCTCTGCCCCACTGAGCGGCCTATGTATATGCAGCACAAGACAATTCTTCTTCACTCAACGAGGCCCAGGCAAGCCAAAGGGTTGGACACGTGTGTATTACACTGTATATATATATGACACTCTTAAAATATTGTCTAGCATACAGAGTACTTATGATCACTTATCCTTTTTATAAAATATGTGTGAAGTTGGATTGGAACAATAAGAAAGAAAAAGAATCACAGGAAAGATGCTCTGGAGTCTTCACTCATTTTGCAAACCAAGCTCCAAGTCTGATCCCTGTGCTTTTGACTGGGTCTTTCTTCTCTTCAAGAGTATTTTTCAAGGAAGCTCACAAGGTGGTGCTGTATCATCTTCCACGTCAGAGCTAGGAAAACTGTTTCATATTGACCAAAACCAGAATGGAACAGATTCACCCTTCCAGACTGATTTCAACCCATCTGGTTTGCTTTTGGTTTGGTGTTTTGGTGGTTTTTGTTTTGTTTTTAATTTTTTTCTTTTCTTTTTCTTGCTTTTCTTTGAGGCTCTGAGAATTGACTGTTGGTACAGCTCTGAGGAAAGGGATTAACTCTTCCTGCTAATCTCTGAAGTGATGATGTACAAGAAATTAAATCTGATTTTTCTCGGGATACACTCAGAAACCTATGAAGGTTTCTCCTATCTAGGCATACGCCTAAATATTTGCTTAGTACTCTCTTATTTTAGTTACTTAAGGGAAATGCAGTGTCAAATAACTGCATGACAGAAAGTTACATTGCAATCAATAGAAAAAAATGCTGTGCACGTTTGAATGGCTATAGAGTTGAAATTTTGGTGAGGGGAAGGATGTGGACAGGGTATAGTGTAAACTTGTTTCTTTACTTCAAAATGTATTCGGCATATCCCAAAGTTTTCTACAAAGAATCTGCTTTGTCATTGGATGCTCTGAACATGCTTGTTGCAGGCAAAGTATTTAATCCCTTGCAACACACTCATATCTGGAGAAAATTCTTTCACTCTCCTCTCCTGGGGTAATTTCAAATTATTTCACTCCATGGGCTTCTTTTCAGTTAATTTTAGTATAATCCTACTCTTTTTACACTGTTCTCGGTGCTGCCCCCCCACCTTCTAATTCAGCTGATTTATTATGTGCTAACAGCTACTTTGAAAGAAGAAAATTCAAGTGTTATGAGTGAGGCATACCTCTTGCTCTCTAAAAAAGGAAGGAGGCCATACATGCTCATAGAAGACATTAAAATGCTTATATAACTACTGTTGTTTTAATATAACTATTAATGTACTGCATCTCATGTCATATCTTGCATTTTGGTGCTATGAGGTTATAGTAGCCAAATAGTATGAGAGGAAAAATGTTCCTTGTAAACTCTTCAGAAAAGGAAGACACTCAGCCCAGAAATGTTTCTAGATTTATTCCTTTCTAAATGTGTAAATAAGAGGGGGCCCACATAGGTATTGTGTGGTTTGTACTTACAAAAGCAGCCACGACTGACAAAAGCCTTTCCAGCCTGGAGATGCTGTGTAGTTTTCTCCTGGAGAAGTGTGGGCTGAATTTTGGCATTGATGGTTCTGCTTTTCAACAGCATAAAGAAAATGCTTTAGTTAAAATCATTAAATATTCTTTTGGAATGCTTTCTCTGTATGAAGAGTGTATTTCCCAAGGAACACTAAGCGAAGAAATATTCTTTCCTACCAGGCAGCTCTGGGTATATGCGTACCTGCAGAATGCCTTAGGTAAAATCATTTATGTCTAAAACTGTGAATCACCATTATCCACAGCTGTTGCTAAAGAATGCCCTTGCAGACCTGCCAGGTTTCTGTCCCTTGTTCTTATGAGAAATGCAAGTTGAGCTCCTAGAAACCTTCCCAGCAGGTTCTGGTTCCAGGAGCCCTCATCTTTCAACAGTGGAGGAAAAAACGTCTAGGTTTGAAAAGATTTTTCTTTAAGTCCTAAATTGTTTCTAATCACGATTTCAGATGCATCACAAAGGCTCTAATTGTGATCAAAGAGGATCTATAAAATGGTGACTTCCTGGTTTTGATTTGCAATTTTCTTTCTCTGTTTCACTTTTCTTCACATAGTATATTACTTTTTAAAATAATTCCCAGTGGGACATTATCTGTGAGATGCCTTCCCTCCCAGCCTGCCTAGAACTTAGCAATTAAGATAGAGAGTGCAGTGGAATTGCTAGGTCACAGCCTGAACCAATGGTTGATCACCAGGTGAGAAGGTGTGGCTAATCCAGGGAGTTCAGGTGCAAGCAGTGCACCTCAGTGATTGGAAGAGGTGGAGCCAGGATACACCTCTCCTCATCCCTCATTTAAGGGTTAGCAGCTAAGGGATCAATGCTTTGTTGGATAGAAATTCTTCTCATCTTGAGCTGTTGCTGGTTATTGGAAGGGGTGAGCTGAGCTGGTTTTCTATTCATTTTTGTTATGTGTTATTGCTCTGTAGTTTCTGTATTCCATCTTTTCCTGTACAGAGGGGAATGAGGTAGGAGCATGAACAGGGCTATTCAGCTCAGCATTTCTCCTGGTGGTACTGCAATGCTGGGCCAGTCGTTTGCACTACTGGCCAAAAACCTCAGTTTGTCTTAATCATAAAACAGTGTAACTAAGGAAAGTAAAGATGTCACCTGCTTTGGGCTGTAATAATTAACTACTGATTTATTTTTTTATTTAACAAAAACAAAAGGCCCTGAAGAAAGGTTCTGATCTTAATGAAAGATCAGAGGCAATATATATTTTTAATAAAAATACTATCTGAGCAAGCAAAAGGTCATGCTTGGAAAATGAAATGTGAAATGCTTTTTTTTTTTTTTTTTTTTTTTTTTTGTCAGCATTTACAGAAGGAATAATATCATCTGAGAACATGACAGAAACTACTTTTTAAACACTGAGTGAAACACGCTTGTAGCAGCAATTGAATGTTTTGTTTCAGTAGCCCTGCAGAGGTATGTGTATGTATGCTCTTAAATAGTAGTAAAAAGGAGTTTACTAATGAGAGGACTATAGCTGTTGATCAAAGACCAATCGTAGACATTATTATAATCACTTTTTAATGTGGCAGAAAGAAAACATAAGCTATTAAAAAGTTGTTAGGAGATAAATTTCTTTTAAAATAGCTGAATTTTTGAAAACAGCCATGTTGTAGCAGTGTATTTTAATTACTGACATATATGAATTTTTTTTGATAATCAAGTAAAAGTTCGTGGAAAAAAGTCTTGATTTCTGCTATATGTTTTCTGCTGTTCTTTTTTTTCCTGACATCATTCCTGGTGTAGGGAACAATATTTTCATTCTAAGTTGATCAGTCTTTTTAAAGAAAAAATTATTTTTGTTTTATATATTAAGGAAAGCAACAACCCTGATGAAAACTAATGATTCCTTATTTCCTATGAAAATAAGAAGAAAACAATAAAACTGTTTTTATAAGTAGTTGTATGTTTGATAAGCTGTAAAACTAAAAATGTAGTTATTTAAATATAGTATTTTTGTTTTGCTTTAATTTTTTTCTTTATTCAAACTAATTGCTTTGCCCTGTATAAACTTGCATACTGTCCCCACTGCTGAGATGCACCCCTCACTGTGCTCACATTCACTGTTTGGTCTCCATAAACATTCAGCAAGTACTGATGAATGTCACTATGTGCCACTTTTTCCACGTGAAGGAATTGCATTACAGCCCTTTGCTTCATGTGCCTTCCATATCAGGCTCTGGACTGTGCCTCTGCTGCCACCTGTCTAATGGCAGTAAAATGTATGGTGGGAAGGTTCATCCTTTACTGACATGTCACTGTCATCTGCCTCTGATGTTGTAGGCAATATAATAAAATAGGAGGTGTTACTTTTGGAGCATTCTTCTTGCGTGTGTGTGTATATACATACAACAAATTGTAAGAATTCGGAGGCATGAGTGATTTCTTTAAGATGCTGCAGAAGTTCCTAAACATTTGAGAACTGACCCTTACAGGAAAAAAGTGTTTAATTTCTTATTAGGTGTGGTCACTGCAAGTTTGTGTTACCATAAAGCATGCAGTTTGCTTTTCTTTTAATTTAGCTTTTGTTAATGTATGATTAATGGCATTGATTTTTATTTTTTTTGTTTGTTTGTTTCTGCCTGCTTGTATGTATATGCTGACTGAAATGGACTTAATTCATGCACCTAAGAGTAAAATGCTCTACACTGCTGTCCAGGATGCATACTGTTTCCAAGCAGTACAAATTCTCCAAGTTAGTTGCATCGCTTTCCAATGGACTTGCAGAAATTGTGGTTTCTCCATCATACCCATCTCTAATTTGTATTGGGTTCAGCTAGGACAGAAGTGATTTTCTTCATGTCTGTTATGATGCATGTTTTGGCTTTGTGGTGTTCAGTCAAAGAGCAGTTCTCTATTGATTTCACTTCTTTGCATGACCCCTTAGCACCAGCTAGGGATCTGGCTTTAAGAGGTCTGGGCTATGTCCCAGGATCCTCAAAACCCCAGGAATAAGGCAGGGAAGGCATATGTCTGGGTGAAAACAGTCCCCTGTGCACTGTTCTCTGCCCCCACTCACCAACACAGGGTTGGAGCAATGGCTTTCCCTGAGGAGAAGCAGAAACAGAATGAAAAGGGGGAAGACTAGTCCTTGGGGTGTAAGTCTTGACAGCTGACACAAGGACTGCATTTGGTTTCTAGTCTACAAACTGTAATTATTCTTCTTAAAAATTCTTTCAGGGTTGAGGCCTGTTATTACTAACCTGCAGATGCTCTGAAATGGTCGGCATGCTTTAAGCCCTAAATGCGATCCTCTTGCATTTATAAAGTTGTGGTTTTCCTCATTACTTACATACAAAGTGTTCTTCCATTATTCCAGCCTGTTCCCACTGCTTTGCCTTGTCTCTTCATTTTCATTTTGCCAGCTTAATCTCAATTCTTATTATTTGGATGGGAAGCTGTATCTGAATTACTCTGGTTTTTCCACTTCCTCCTTTCACCTCCCTTACTCCTTTGAAAACTTATATTTTGTTTTCTGGAACATTTCCCAGTGATTGCAACAGAAGCTATTTAATTTCTAGATGAAGGAAATAGTTATTAGCTGACACAGGACTAATCCATCACACAGATGGGACAAATGCTTGCCCTCAGCAGGAAGACATTAAAAACTGTTCAGCACTCTCTAGAGGCTTTTGGGGTGGCTTTAGGGAATTGCTTGCAAATCTCATACTAAGAACATCAATAACTGTATCTTCCTTTTTGTTTTCCATATTTCATCCTTTCACTGAATGCTTGTTTTTTGGTGTATATTGGGTTTGAAGTAGCTTGTTGTAATACAGAAATGAAAGCTCCCCTTTTGTGATGTATTGAAATTGCATTTCCAATATCAGGGTAAAGTGTTAAAAAGTGACTCATGCATGCTTTTAATCAAGGGCATAATTGTGTGAAGAGGTTTGATCTCATAAAAGCTAAAGGGCCATATTTAAGTAATGAAAAGAACCTTTCTATCAATTCTGGTGGCTTTTTACTAGTTGGCTTGTTTATTTGCTGGTTTGTTGGGTATTTTTTGCACTTTACTGCTAATGGCACTGTTTTTTTGATACTAGTTGTAAAAGGCAGTATAGCAAAACATCTCGTGCAGTTGTGATTCATGTTTACAAATGGAAGTTATGTGTGTGCTACTCAACAGTCTTTCTAAAGTTTTCCCTTCTGATAATTATGATTTCTGATTTTCTGCATTGCAGATTGTTTGCAAAACTAGGTCTTGAGGATTGAATTACTCTTACCTAGCAGCAGTTCTAGCCCCAGATTAGATGCATGTGGAAATGACTTCCTTTGCCTTGGAAATGAAGCTGTGTGCACACCTACTTTAGCACACGCTGAATACTGGAAATTTTCAAGGTAGATTTGAAGCATTTTTTCAAGATAGGACTGAATTTCCCATTGTCTCTCTTAATTTATGTGTCAGTCTATCTTAAACAGTGTGGACATCACTGCACAGGAAATCCTGCTGTGGATCATGTTGTTTATAACCATCTAGGCATTTGTGAGTTATGGACACTCATTGCCAAATTGTAGAGATTGAAAAGAATCTTTGAAAGTCGTCTAGTCCAACACCCTGTTAAAGCAGTTTTTCTACAGTAGGCTGCATAGGAAAGTGTCCAGGTGAATTTTAAATAAGATCCTACTTATTGCATTGTTTTCTTCCATGCAGGATCCTGAATTTCACTGCATCCAAGGCTGCCTCAACTTTCACACTCACAATTAGTCCTTCCTTTATAAGAACAAGGTCCAGCTGCACATTTCTCCTTTTTGACTCTTCCACCACCTGCCTCAGAGGGTTTTCTTTCATGAACTTCAAGACCCTGTTGGCCTTCTTGTGCCTGGTGGAGTTGTTTCTTCATCAAATACCAGAGTGGTTAAAGTCCCCCATGAGAACAAGTGCCTGTGACAGACTACTTCTTGCTGTCTGTAGGCCTCATCAACTTACTCTTCCTCCTCCCGATTAGATGGATCTTACACACAAATATTAAGAGCTTTAGGCTGTAGTTTCATGGTCACATTAAAGCAACAGATATTGCTGCTGGACCTGAGGAAGCAGTCTTGTCCCTGTCCTATCTTGTGTGTGTAAAAGGAACCCATTCATGTTGCTGTAGTCTCCCTCTTGGCAGTAAGAAGTGAGCAGGATTTGGGCAATGATTTAGGTCCAGCATTTCTCATGGCCTTCTGTACAGTTCCTGGGGTGGTTGCATAAGGAGAGAAGCAGAAAGATGCTGTTGACATTGCAGGGTGGATATTGCCTTAGGGTTCACACTGGCCCATTTGCAGCATGGGCACCTTTTGTCTTTGAAAGACAAAGATCTGTTAAGAAGCTTGAAACAATGTAAATGTAGGGGCTGAAAGAGTCACCTTCTTGATGCCCAAGGAAAATCTGACATGGGTGCAATTACAATACTTTCTGGAAAAACAGAGGAAGCACCCAAGTGAAAGTGATCCCCTGGTGATAAAGTTCATCAATTTTAGGTCCCACCTTGGCAGTGCAAGTTGCTAAGGAGGATCAAGGGGAAAAGTTAACTCTCAGAAAATACATGTTCAACAAAGGTGAAGAACCCTCTTCAGGCAATTTCAGCAAATTAAAGAACAGAGCAAGGATAAGAAAACGGCACCTTTTTAAAAATTTTTTTATTTTTTTTACTCTGCTATCTTACTCATTTTCAAGCATTTTTGGGCTGTATATTTCTAGGGAGTTAGTAGTTACCCTCTTACTGTCCTTGATCTGTGTGAAGAGGGAACAGGAACAAGCATTTCAGATGCTGTAAAAGCTTTCTTTTGATTACCCTGGTTGAGAACATGATGTGCTCAAAGGAGTCATTTAAAAGGTAAATATAGTTTTTCCAGCTTCCAAAGTTGTTGTGAAGGCTTTTGTGTGGTCCTTGTCTTCTCTTGTTCTAAGGAAATAGAAAGTGAGCAGCCACTTCAGAACCTCTTCCATCCTTCTCTTCCCTTGTCCTTATGCTAAATAGGGAAGCTAGCTTGTGCCTCAAGGTTGATGTCTAATCTGAGTGTTATAAATGTTTTTCTATGTTAAATCTCCAAGCTCTTTCAGTACAAATGAATTCAGGGGGAAATCAAGCTTCTTGTTGTTTTACATTTCTTTCATGCATGCAGGTGCACTACTGATGCGTGACTCTGGTTGTAAAAATGAGCAAGATTTCATAAACCATGAAGAAAGGGAATTATGTTGAAGGTGGATGAAAGAGGCTTCAGCCCACTTTAAAACAAACAAAATAATTGTTAGTGCAGTATGTTTCTTTTTATGCCTATTTTTATGCCTTGCTCTTTTCCTGTGTTTGACCAGCAGTGCTTACTTGGCAGAATCCTTGTGCTTAGGGTAATTAATGCATCTGTTTGGTGTTTCACCCAGTTGTGTGAAGAAAGGGGTGTGCAGCACCCAACATGTCAATTTAGGACTACTGATTATGTTGTTGCTTCTCTAGTCTGGAAAAGATATTGGCTGACAGAAGGGATGCAAATGCAGTGAAGCTAACTTTTCAGAGAAGAATAAATTCTTCTCTGAAAGAAGAATAAATAAAGCTGATTTATGAGGTTCTGGTCTGCCCTCTCGAGGTTCTGTCAAATTCCAAAAGCAATAGGAAGATCCAAAATCCTTGGAGATTCAGGAAAAAAATATATATATATTCTCACTTCCGGTAGCATTAAATGCAGTTTCAATTGTTGATAATCTCTGCAGTCATTTAGCCTGTGAATTGACAATAACTCAACTGGAAGTCTAAACAATTTCTAGTATAGCGTCTAAAAACAGTTTGTTATGTGTAGATCCTTTTTCCACGGATGCTTTTGATTCAGGTTAACCTTTATAAAAAAACAAAAATTGACATTCAGAATGTTAATATAGTATTTCTTGCTAAAGAATAGTTGGCTTTTCATGGCTTTTTTTTCACTGAAACAGTAATTAAAATATAAATGTGAGATTTAGGAAGGCATGGCTTTATGATGATATAAAACTTGTATTAGAAGAAATTTATGACAGTGAAGTTAACCACTGGCTTTTTTCTACATTAAAGTTTAGTAAATTTTAATGACCTTAATTTTAGACCGCCGTTATAGGGAAATGCTTCATCTTTAAATTTTTATGTGTTTCCTGCTAAAAATAAAGGAAATCAGGTAGAGCTAGCTGAGGGGTGAAATTTAAAAAAGAAAACTCTCTATAACCTGTCTTTATATGATCCATGGGCTTAGAAATGAACAATTTGAGCCAAACAGTATGCAATTTTCATGGCCTATGTGATAAGAAGCATGTAGGTGTTTTTTTTTCCTGCTTCAGAAAAGAAGAAAAAAGCAGAATTGTTCTCTGCAGCTATATATTTGGTTTTGAATATATTTGGTTTTGAACCTTCTTGAGATGGCTGCTGTCTACTCAACTTTGGGAGGAAAACTGCAGCATTTCAAAGAAGAAAAAGGTTTGTGTGTAGCGACTGCTGCTAGTAAGTAATACTGGGATGAAATAACTGAATGCGTGGCTGTAGATATCCTTTATTTTGGAGCATCTCTTATTGCTGTAAAGCTGTCACCAAGCTGACTACTCACGCTGTGATGAATTTATTCAAAATAGGAGATTTCAGTTCTGTTTCCAGTATGTTTGGAAATGTAATCTAATCTATAATGGGGTATATCAGCAAGACCTACCCCATCAAATGCTATTCTGAAGCAGCCTCTTCTGGCTCCTTCGTTATTCAAGATACACCTAGATTCTACTATTGCCTTTTTCAACCTGTGATTTGTTAAAATAAAGGCAACTTCAAGCAGATATGTCTGTTGCTTGGGAGGTAGCAACGATGTCTCTGGTGAAACAAGTCTAGTGACTTAATTTGGTACTTCTAGTGATTGGGCTGTGGGCAACACTTCTCTACTCTCCAATTATAATGGAGAAGAAAACAAGAAAAGCTCAATCTGAGAATATCTTCCATTGAAAAACCCAAGCAGACCTCAGAAGCATTATGACCCCCGCATACAGATATCTCCATTGGGTAGGAAATGGTTGCAAAATGAACATCTGTGGTCTTTTCTTTGCATATGTTGCAACTTGCACAGCCAGAGTAGAAGTCTGCAAATATTTTTCTCTTCCTTCCTCTCTGCACTGTGGAAGAACACTCATTCCAGGTGGACTTGACAGCGTTTTTCAAATTGATGAGAAAGTAAACAATAAATCTACAAAATATCCAGAAACCAGTAAGATGTAAATAACAAATGCCTTTTCATATTTCTCACCAAAAGACTGAACAAAAGGGAAGAAAAACAAACACCTTTTTTTCCTCAAGTCTCAGTTTATATTTTTGTGAATAATGAGTGAAACAGAGCTTAGCCAATATAATCCTTATTTTGAATTTGTGAAATACTGATCATACCTCTCAGCAGTACACTTATTTTAATAGCACAGTATGCGATTCTATACCTTGCTAATGTCAAAGATGCAGCAGTTACTTCTTATTTTGAAAAAAGGACTTGCGAAACGTGATTTTACTAAATTGCAGTGCCTGGTATTTGACATTCTGTTTCTATGGTTTAGCAGTATATCTAGCTCTATTAATACCTACTTGATAATGGATCTTACTAATGCTGTGAGTATATTAAAAATCCAGCATGTAGAGAAAGGCATTGGTCCTGTACACAAAACTAAACAACAGGTATTTTACAAATGTAAGATGATTCATCAAAGCCATAAGGACAGAAGGAATTTCAAGGGCTCCTGGAAGTTTTATCTTTGCTTATATAAATCTCATTCTCATCTCTTCATTCAGTTTATAGACTTTTTGTGATGATTGTAAGGATAAAAATGCTATCTTTTACCTAGACAGGCCTGTTTGAGAAGTGAGGTATTTCAGATCTCTCCCATTTCTAGTTACTTTATTTGGTTTTCCGCATATCATTAGGTTTTTGGGGGGGTTATGCCAGCTGATGCATAAAGACTTTTTTCTTGCTCATTAAGTATTTGGCACCTAAGTCAGCTCTGAGGATTACTTTTGGATAGAGAGGAAAAATGATGCTGTGCTAACTGAGGTGGTTAGTCCAACTGGTCATGCTGAAGACTGAAGGAGATGTGCTGGAGGAACAGAAGTTTTACTGTGAGTTTCATAGACTTAGAATATTTTTCTTTACAGGGCTGGATCCTAAAAGTTCCTGAACATCAATTCCTCTTGAGAGCATGGGGAATGGAAGGCACTCAACATTTCTTCAGTTACAGCCACGTATGAGCACTGAGTTTTCAAATATAGGTTTAATGTCAGGCTTGAGAGCACCATTTCTTTTTTGCCTAAAGAAAATGGCTGGGGGGAAGTAGTGTGCAGGTGAGAGACCTGTGAAAACTGGCTGGGTTCAACCACAGTTTAAAAAAAAGAAAAACCACCAAAAATACAAAAGCAGACCCAGTCCATTTAGCTACCAGCAGTGACTCAGAGTTCCCATTAGTCTGGAAGAATGTAATTCTGCACATAAGGTATCTACAGGTGTGGACAAGCCTGCAGCTAATATTCCCTCTTTGTCTTTTGTTTAAAACTGTGAACACAACTCTTTTATTTTCCCACTCTGCACTGTTACACAGAGAAGCACAGGTTTGAATCAAAAGGCAACTATAAATAAGATGAGAGAGTTTAAAAGTGCCATAATATTTCTGGAATCTACTTAGTATTTAACACCCTTTAAAAAATAATCACTGCCATTTACAGCGTTTGAGGTCAAGTGGGAAAGTAATGAGGCTTATTATTACTTTTTAAAATGACTTAAACTATCTGCAGATAAGTGGGTTATTTTTGCATCATCTATTTTACTTGAATTGATTCCCTCCATTTAAGTTAATAGAAAGAATCCTAACAACTCTTCTGGACTTAGTTTTTCATCTGCATTCTGATACAGGGAAAGGACATAGCGATGAAGTAGCAAGAGCAAGCTGGTAATAAAGTTCAGGTGAGTGATGTTTTTGATGTATCAGTGATGTTTTTAATATATTTCTTACTGTGGTCAAAAACAAAAACTATTACAAATAAATAAGAAACCAGCCAACTGGTAACACGTGTACTTCTCCTTATTGCAGAAAGTCATTAAAATGTCTTCAGTAGAATGTGCTTCTGAAAGTTGTGTTTACTAGATTATTGTTTGAAACTAAACTCTGAAAAACCAAATGCTGTCCTCATGTTCACCATGTTTTTCTTTTGTTTAGATCATAAGTTCAATTATGTACTCAATCTTTTTCTAAAACTGCATCTTCTTGGCTTTTAAGATTTGGTTTTCAGTTTAAGGCCAATAAACCTCTTAAAAAAAAAAAAAAACCACAACTGAATTTCTCTGAAAAAAGCCTCAGTTTCATCAAACAACACAATGCAATTCTGACTCAGTATAAGAAATGCCCTAATAATCTCCAGGTCACTTATAGGAGAAGATCCCCAGTGGTCCTGCTGGTGGTTCCCCAGCAAATTCAATAGTAACTCCCACAGGATCACTGTAGTTACACAGTGGAAGGAAAATTGGAAGTGGAGGAAATTGGAACAGAAGGTATTTGTAAAATTGATGTACTGATTAATAATATATGGAGCATAACTACCTTTCTTTAGAGTACACTGATTCTGCCTAACTTTGTGTCTCAGGTGCTTTGAGTTGTGAGAGGTCCACTGATTTTAAGAACATGCCTTATTCAATTATGAAAATAAGTTGAATTAAGGTTAAATTACGTGAAATATTGCCCTTCCAGATTTTTTTAGCAGGTGAGAGTTCAATATTTCGAAGTCAAAACATTAGTGTTTTTTCAAAGGCCGAGATTTACTATGAGTAAGTTATGGTGTGACCTCCATCGTTGTGCAGCCTAGGAACCCTGCTTGTAAACCAAGCCCTCTGCTGTACAAAGGGAAGAAACTAGGCTCCGTGCTTTGCCACCAGAGTATGCCATGGAGACAATATTTTATGAAAGCTGGCACATGCAATAGTCAGTCTGTGGGGTGCTTTTCTGTGATTTCTGTTAAGTAATTTATAGCAAAAGGAATACCATTTGACTTTTTTTTTCAGATTCAAAGTAGGAAGAAAGTTTAATCCTTTTGAAATTAAAGTGATAACCTCTTATTCCTGATTAGTTCTGAGTACTGAAAGACATTATTTTAACTAAGTTATTAAGTAGAGAGTTCACAGAAACAAAAAATGATGGAAATAAGGAATTGAGTTGAAGTTCACTGGTATGTTTAAGATTAAACTGTTTGTGTATTCCTCTGTGCTGCAATGAGAGTGCAAGTTAACATTTGGCTAAAGCTGATTGAAATCTCTCCTGTTGAAAGGTTGGCATACCTTCTTCATTTTCCCCTCAGCCTGTGTTTCAGCAGCGTTGTTGTGCAGGGGGCAGTCAGCTGCCATCCCCCATATTTTTGGTGTTTTCTTTTCTCCATCAAAGAATGAGGCTTACTGTTGTTAGTGATCTGACATGACTTGCTGCAAGGCCTTAGCACAGCTAATGTTGACACAAGTGTTCAGCCAGTGTCTGAGGAGAAGCATGGACTGGGCAGAGATACCTCTTTGGTGGTAACCTGACTCTGGGTTCATATCTGCTTCAATCCTGCCAGAGTGTTTGTCACGACAGGCTGCAAGAATTGGCAGTTTGCTTACTTAGCTAACTATCAACATTGACTAACAGGGTAGTCCAGTCTTTCTGCTATGGAAACCTCTCTGCACCTTTTGCCTACCTGCAGGACACAGTGTTGGTTCTCAACTGATAGTGGGGGATCAGCACACATGAATATGTGCAGACAAGGCATGTTTCAGACAGCTCCTAAAAGCTGTCTTTACCATACTATGAGGAAGTAGGTGTGCAGCATGAGGACATGGTCTAGGACCAGACAGAATTGTTCCAAGATCAACTCTTTCTTGAGGCTGTCAGGTGTGGCCTGACCATATCTCTCCATGGGACAGTGCATATCTGGATGAAGAAGAAAAAGTTGGTGACAGATATGGGAGTGATGGACGCACGACACTATGAAGACTAAGGATAGTGCTTTACAGTGGTACAGGTGCTTTTCTGGCACACATACATTGAAACAAGTCTGACAGCAATGGGAAGCCCATAGTTCTTTTTACCCAGCCTGATAAATCTTTCATTAACATGATAAAAACAAATGGCGTATTCCTGTCCTAAATTAAACTGCCAAGTTTAAGGCCTCTACTATAAAGGCTGTTATTTTTGAATAAATGCTGCCAAATATGCACGTAAAACAACAGCTATTATGTTATTCTTATGGATATCTAAGCTGTCCATAAGGATATGAGTGTCTGTTTTCTCACTTAAGAATGCCTGTCAGATATGGCATGAAGTGAAAGTGGCAGAGTGCTAAGCTAAATTTTAATAACAAATGCCCAAACAGTTATAGCTGAAGAGCAGTACACTGGTTCACTACCCTTTGAAGACCAGTCCTTGATTTGATATTTTGGAGAGAGTGATCTTTCTTTTCTTACTTCCCTTCCTACACGATTCATCTCTTGCTTGGCTGTAAGGCAGAGAGAAGCTTTGAAAGTGGGTCTTCTGCCATCTACTCACTGAAACACTAAATGAAGGAAAGATGCCACCAATTTTCTGCTCTGAGCTGGTTGGAAACTTTTTCTTTTTAGAAAAAAAATAGAGGTACCTTAGTCTAGAAAGGAGTTTGTGGTTGAGTGTTTTTTTCCTGGGGGGGGTGTGTTACTAAAATCCATGGAACTGGGCTGCAGGAAGATCTTAGTGGATCGTTTTTCCTGGTAACTCTGAATAGCTCTGTGTATGAATCATCTGGGACACTTTGGATGCTTGAACCTTAGCGCTAGCAGTTGTATTTCAAACCTAGCAGTGTGGGCTCTGCTGCTCTGCTAGATGAGATACTTCTAGCTCTGTGCTGAAAGCTCTTCTGTGGGCTTCCCTCTTTAAAGGCTGAGTTTCCCAATTAGTGGTGCAAGTTTTCATGGTTAGCAAATAGAACAGTTAATTGGAAATCAGAGACTAAAAGCATAGGACAGCTTTCATTGTGCTATATGAGCTGATAAAACAATTGTATGTATGTCTCATTTTAAGGAGACGTTTGCTTTTCAGAATGAGTCATCAAATATAGCTGATGCACTTTTCAGCATCAGTATTTCATGAGACCAAAAAACATAGACAAATAACGGATTTTGTCTTCAGTTGGATCAGATAAAGAGCTAATCTTAAGGTACTGAAGTTCTTATGTTCCAGGTAACAATGTTGTTTGGTGTTTTTTTTCTTATCCTCCCTCCTCTCCTGGTGGTATTTCTGTATATAAAATTATTTCTAAACCTAGAGGCACTAAGAAAATGTTTACAGTCTCTATCAAGAATATGAGGAGAAGGAAAAAGACTTGCAAGGAGAGCTTTTTTGAATATTTCAAATATGTGTGCCTGGTAAAGTTAAATTAAATTGCATCTTAATTTGTTTTCATTACATCACTTGTTGAATGTTGCTGCGAATTTCCATTATTTGTCTTTACTCTGAGGAAGATCTCCCAGCCATGAATAACAGACTGTAAAGCAATTCAGGCAGATTCCTTAGTGACTGGCATCACATTTGGCCATAGATGAAGAGTGAAGGACACCAAACATCAAAACCTCTTTCCCCAGCCTCTGTGCATTGTTGCTCTTTGCAATTTGTCTGAATTTCTCTTTGGCTGTGGAGGAGGACCAGCAGAGAGCTACTGCTTGCTTTTTCACCCCTGTTAGCTTCACCTGCTGGAAGATGAATGCTGAGTGATTTGACCAGGCATGGGTCAGGTTGTACTCTGTTGCACTATGCCGGAAGCAAGAAGACTAGCCTACCTATATATGTTGCAGAAACAGTTGTGTTTGAAGGCTCAGCTTTTGTTTTTTCTTATTGTTTTGTTATATCCCCATTCCTGTTTGATTGTCTGTGAAATGGGAAAAAACTCTGCAAGACGTTCAGTCTGATAAAGCTGAACTCTTCCTACATACTTTTGTCTCACTGTTTCACATCTACTTCTCACTTCTGTTTAGATTTGTTACTTGAGAAGAATGACGAACTTCTTGCTTGAGCTGACAGAGATTTTGATCTATGTAATAAGAGCAATGGGAAAAAAAGTCATGCACTTCCACTACATCCACTAGCTTCCAGAAGGCTTAGAAGGATTCAACCTGGTCTGTCTGACTGGAAAGAGACTCTGGAACAAATACTTTTTGATTGTACTAAGCCTTAAAATGTGGAGTGAGAACAAGTAATGAAGCAAAAAATGTGCACGTCTCAGTTGTGTGATTTCACAGATAGATGAAACACTACTGTGTTTGTGGACTGAGTTCTATTTGTATGAAAAATCTGATGTTGCATGGTATGTATTTTGCAGCAATTTGTGTATTTTCAGTAATATCATAATATTTGGGAAAGGCTCTGTAGCTATGGTTGCATTTCAACGGAAGAGATGTAGTAGTGCAGTTCTATTTTGTGGTCTTGGTGTGATCAGTGAAGAGAAATGGGTTCTTGATTTTAGGAGTCTATCTTAGAGTAGCAATCTAAGTATTATTTTCTTATTTAAATAAATTTTATATGTATAAATGAAGGAAGAAAATGCCTCTCGTCCTCCTGCATGATAACAGCAGTTTTTGAAACAGTAATAATTTTTGCAGGACTGGATTATTTTTCCTGCTCCCTCCCAACTCCTTCTTCATTTAGACATCATTTGAGATGCTTATCTAGCCTCCAATTTTTATTATTTTTTCCTATATTTTTAGCTGATTTTTGCTATATTTACAGAGGAATAAAGTGCAACAGGAACTGTCCTGGGAGGAGAAGAATGCATCTGAAAACAATAATTGTTTTTTTGAGAAATTCAAGGCCATCTGACGTTCTAGCTCTAAAGATGTTTCTCAACATCAGCCAAAATGAATGTTTAGCAAATGCTTATGTGATGTAGAAAATAAGTGCAGTGAATTAATAGAAAAAAAAAATTTCCAATATGAGGTTTGGGAAATATTTTCCCTAAATTCCTTTTTTTCTTTAACTCAGTGGAGCGATCATAAAGGTAGATTTTTGCTAAAGAGATCTTGGTAGGATTAAGGGCTGAAATACAGTTTTTGAGAAGCAGGGAAAAGCTAAGAATGGAGCAGAGCGATCTTGAGAGAATTAGCAGAGATGTTGTACTTGAGGAAAAGGAAATAGTGCTGTATTTTAACAGCATGAATAAAAGGAAGCAATAAATTGAAGTCTTTTAGAAAAGGAATTGTGAGGTTAATGAGAAGTGCTTCTGCAGTTGCTAATGGAAACTTCTGATGGCTGCAGGCTTAGCTTAGGATGGAGGTTCTGTAATTATATCGTCTGTTCTCAGGCATGTACCTTAATGGTGGTTTGTAAGGTACTGGAGCGGAAGGCAGTGTATTTTTACTTGTGAGGAGAAACTCTTTGAGATACTGGAATAAAGGTGGATTTTTGGCTTCAATAAATCATGTTCCCACTGCTGTGTCCTCACCAGAAAATCCTTCTGTCTCTTTAGTATGTGTATGAAAAGTGGAATAAATGAGAGCAGAGAAGCTGCTCTATTTGGATAGGTGGGGAAAAAAAGTGAGCAGTATATCACTGATAACTCTTTCTTTAAGACAGTGACTTAATCATTTTTCTCTAGCCATGTTTCTTTGCCTGCAGTAATTTCCTAGTGTCAGACATGTAGTTTATGTTTGGAGAAGGACTTTGTTGTTTTGCTTGTTGGTTTGGTTTTTTTTGGGGGGGAGGGGGAATGAAAATGTCCGTCAGATAAGATAAGCTGCCCTGTAATTTGCAGGGGAAAAATGTGGGTAGTATCATATGGTGTGTGAGCCCCCATTTTTCATTCCTGATGTTTGTGATTAAATTAAGCATGTTTTTGGCTTCATCAGAGGTAGTGGAGCTATTCTTTATAATTAATTTGAGGATGATTTGGACAGTCTGACATGCAAACATATTTTATTGCTTATTAGCCTATATTTTTGCACTGTAGTCAAATTTGGCCATGGAGCTGGGGTCAGGTGGGGGGAGTACAGTCTTTCAGAATCCTGTCTGCAGTTTCAGAGTTTGTTCTTTAATTAAAAATCAGCTTCTGATTTCTGTTCTCCAAGAAAAAAATCATATTGCTTGTTGTCACCTACAGGTTGGGATTATTCTGATCTGGTTTTCAGTTCAGGTGGTGTCCAATATATTAACCAAGCCTAGTGAGATTATGATAATTGACTTTGGGCAAGTGAGTTACCCAACACGTAAAAACTTTGCACCATTTGATAGCTTGCATGCAATGTTCATCCTCTTTACATGGCCCACACTGCTCTATCAGGTGAGAAAACATATACAGATTCTTACCTGAAAACAGATCAATGACAAAGGTGCTTATAAGGTATAGCTATGCACTTTTGCTTAATACTAGAGCCCAAAGGAATCTTTTCTGCTTTTCTTTCAACTGAACTTTCCTGTAAGGTTTCTAACTTCCAATTATTTTAAAATATATGGTTACAGTCAACCCAGTGTAACAAATTTATTTAATACAAATTTAGAAGGCATGACACTGAAACACTCTTTGTTTTTCTGGTTAAACCAAAGACCATAATACAACAGTCCTATAAATTCAGTGTGGTGTATTGTTCATCCCTTTAAAAGAGACAGAAAACTGCCTGTAAGCCTTTCTCAGTTGTATACCTATGTGACTTGATTCAGTTGAGCCAGCTTGTTTAGAATTCTATGGTGAAGAGGGCTTCTGCTGTACAGCATTGCCCGTGTCTGAAATGGGCTCTATTGGTCCTGCCTGTCCCACAGATCAGTTCTGGTTACAGAACTCATAACTCTCTCTGCAAGAGGCATCAGGTAGCTGTTAAATGCCCTAGCTTCACGTAATTTGTCAGCATTGCAATTCTTTCCTTAAATCACCAACTGATGCTTTAGGGATATAATATCTATGAAGTATCACAGTAATCCATTCAGAACATCTTGAATGCAGTGGTGTAGAACAAAGACTGTGCTACACAGTCCAGTGTTAACTTACAGCACATATAACTTCAGGTATGATGAAACTGTGGGATGTTCATGGTGCTGCAGTATAGTGTTTACTCGTGCACAGATAGAGTAAGTCTAGTAACAAAAATCAGAACATGAACTACAGTTTTTAGAAGCAATGCATACATCACTGACTGGACAGTAAACACTTCATATTTTTAGCTATTAGAAATGCAGCATGTTTCCCTTGCTACTGAAAGGCAAATGCTAGTGCTCCATGGTCTTTAAAATCTCCATTTAATTTCCTCCCGCATCAGGGAATATTTTTAACATCAGTTGTTCCTTTCTCAAAATGTTTGTATGTTTATATTTACATGTGAAATAGCTCCTCCGCTCCCTAACATGGAATGGATTATTCTGGAGAAAATGAATGAAAATGTTGGATGGAGGGGATTTGAAGCAGATGCATGCTTTTTCTTGGTAAGTAGAGCAAAGTAATTATCCTGTTTGTGTCAGCCTATGAAGTCTTCCAGCCCTACTGAACTGACTCTTTTAACTTGAATCAGGTTCTTGAGGAGGGTGGGTGTTTGGAGAGAGCAAAAGAGCTTGTGTCAAGATAAATAAACAGTAACTTGAAATTTAATCTTAATCCCAGTGCAAACAGCAATGGAACTGTGATGTCAGATAATTCAGGTTATACATTTTCAAAAATGTGATTTATTTTAACACCTAAATTATGAAGCATACCAGAAAATATAGTAAAATTATTATATCACCCTACATATAATATGTATATCAGAAACATTTCCAGGTTTGGGAGTACTAGAATCAAATGTTTCTCCACAATAATTATCAGGGAAGCAACCTCAGTAAAATGAACAAAATAAACCAAACTAGTAAACTGTGAAAAAGACAAACTGAAGGCATGATGCAGTTTGTGGAGGAGGAGGGTGCAGAGTAGTCCTCTTCCACAATTCTTCCAATTTTTTTCTCTTTATTTTTTAGTATTATCAAAACTGTAGAAGGTAGAGAATGGGCTGAACAGCAAAGAGGAAACACTCTGCACTGAGGTCAGCTGGTAGGTCATACAAGCAGCTAGCAAGGCAGTGTGAGACCTCTCAAAGAATTCATGTATGGCTAGATATCTGAGTATAATGTCCTCAATTTGTCCCAAGATTGAGGACATGATACTCAGATTCTGCAAATGAATGAATTGTGGGAACTCAAAACTTTGTACCACTTCCATGCCGTTTGGTGGGATTGTTGTGTTTAACCTGGCAGCAACTTGGTACCATGCAGTATGGGAAGCTGAAATGCCTCTGTGCGGCACTGCTCAGCAGCAAGTGAAACATCAGTTTGTTATCAGTATTGTTTCTCTCCCAAAGACAAAACATAGCATTATACCAGACACTGAAGAAAATCAATTCTGTCCCAGCTGCAGCCAGGATAAAGATCATATCAAATTTCTCCAGTGTCTTACTGGCTCAGCACAAGTGTTTCCCTGAGGTTGAAAAATACAGGAATGGCTGGGCTGCCACAAGTTGTGCTTCTGAGCACGTATTTCATCACAGTAAGACTTCAGAATCTGCCTGTCTGCAATGCAGTGTCAGTGAGGAGTGCCATGATGCCTGTGCTAGAGTACAGCCTGTGACTTCTGAAAAACACCAAATACTATTGCAAGGGAAAAATCATCTTAATGATGAAGGAACTTCTGTCCTACATTTAGTCAGCAGTGCTGTGTGCTTCTTAGTCACTTGGATTGTGATGTTTGCAGGATGTAGATGTGGACATTAAATACCTTATCCTTTACACAATGTTTAGATTGTATCATATTGTGTGTGGGAGAGAATGGTCTGTCTAGACACTTAATCTAGAAACGAGTGTTTCTGAGAGCAGACCCCTGAATTGAGCATCTTTCTGCTTACTACTGGAAGGAATTGAAGGAACAATACTATTCCACTGTCCCTTTCAATGAGCAAGCTGGGCTCAGGGAGCACACAGACTTCTTATTTGTTGCTGATTTTTTTTTTTTCCCATGTCAGTAACTTTGACATTTTGAAGGAGCAGTTAAGCAGAACAGTTATCCTTCAGACAAAGCCAAGTATGTCTCCTTTACAAATGAGAATGTTATCGAGTAGCCTTTTGTTTGAATTAAATATTTCATTTCAATAAAACAGAACAGCTAATAATGTATTTTATTTTCTGTTCCAGCTCACAGATCTAAAGGTCCTTCAAAACTAAAATTGTTTTCAACCAAAAGAATTCATGGCAGAATTGAGTAAGAATGTTGTCTTCAATTTTTTTTCCATGTGAATAACAAGAAACAGCTAGGACTGTTCTGACACTACCCTGTGATATCACTTACGCTTTTTTTGTCCTTTGTTATTAAACTTCTTCTCAGCATGTTTGACAAGAAAAGCACTCTGCCCCTTATGATGGAGAAGTTTGGAAAGCACATTTCACCTGTGTCAGGGATAAAAGCAGATTAGCACAAAAGCAAGATGCTCCCACTTGAGCTGTCAGGGTTTGGCCTTCATTGATGGTTAGGGCCTGGAGGGATTTGAGCATTATAGCAATGCCTTCTGTGTGCATAAAAGGTGATGATGTGTCCTCAAACATGGGAAGCTTTTCCTCTTTATGGTCAAAGATATTAATCTCCAAACAAAAGCAATGGAGAATAGTTCAGATAAATTTGTCTTACACAGACCTCCAAATGTTTGATGTGAGAAATAATAACCAGTTATACACCTCAGTGCTCTCATCTAAGGCTTTGGGACTAACCAAAGCTCAGTCAAACATACGGTAGGAAACCATGATGCAGATGTTGTATTGCTGCTACAAATTTAATGTTTAATGATATTCAGTGGCTATATGATAGTCTTGCTCAGTTATAATAAATTACAAGTAACATTATGAAATTGCTTCTGCCTTCTGAATTACTGAGAGAGATTGGTTAGTAAATTGAGTACCATACTTTCAGCAAATCATCATTAAGTGTGTATGCATATATATGCACATACGTGCACAAGGCTTTTTTATCAAAACTCAATATGAAACAATCTGAGGAAAACCTGTTAGCTTCCTACATGGCATAGTACAGTGTGACTCAACTGAATGCACTAGGAAAGTTGGATAGCTTCTGAAGGTCATTATACCTATCAGGAGTGCTTTCTTGCACTTAACAATCTCTGATGTAGTATGTCTTTGGTTCTGTTTCATAGTGGGAATCTCCCTTTATAAAATGAACTTTGGCTGTCTTGAATCAAGTTCACTATCCAAAAAAAAGGTTTTATGTGGGTCTTACCCTATCCAGTTAAGATTAAATAAATAATAAAGTGACTGTTTCACCTGGGGAAAATGGGGGGGAAAAAGGCATTGAACACTTCTAAAAGAGATTCCCCAGTCACATTGTTTGCTGTAGGAGATTGTGATCTTTCATGTGAGTCAAGGTGGAAGAAAATATTTTTGATTAAAAGGTTTTGGTGTTCTTCCCATCTTCTTCCATGCAAAGAGTAATAGGCTGCTCAGCCATTTCAGGGAATGTGAAGAAGAAAACGTGAGAGAAGAGATTTCTCTTTTCTTGCTCTAACCTTTCCAGGGCTCTGATAATTTTCCAGCTTCTCTGACCTGCAATACATTGGTTTTGAGAGATGGAAGATGCCCGTGAATTTGGGGTGGGATGAGAGGCCATTCATTGATCATATCACAGGCCTCCTCCATGCTGTGCAGATGGGAGTGCAAGACTTGTCTCTGCTTCCCCAGCCACCTCAGCTCGGGAAAGGGATCTGGGTACCCTGAAGCAGATGGTGGGAAATGGCCTCTTGGATGGCTGTGGCTGGAATCTATCCTCTGAACTTCTGTCCAAACATACGCTATCATTTTCAGTTTGTTTGAATGACTGTTATTTTAGACATCTGCTGTACTGTTTGGAAGGCTTAGAAGTAGAGGTAGGTACCTAGAGGTAGAATCTGATACTTGATCTTTGGTATACTTAAAGAGCAATCAGAAGAATAAATCACAATACTATTCCCTATTCTTTATCTTTCATATCAACATTTGATAGAAAGCAAAAATTATTCCATCTGATTTTGCGACAGGAATATTGAAAATCAAAAGACAGGTTGTTGCTTTCACTTACTTTTAATGTTAATGTTGAGTTGACTCTGGCAGTGCTATCTGAGATCTGGCAGTGTTAACTCGCATCAAATTGTCATTGATAATGATTCTAAAAGACAAGGCAGGATATATGTACGTATATATACATTCCCCCAGGAAATAATAAAATAGCTGAATATCTATTTTTGAAGGCAGCGTGTACTGTCTGCTAATTCTTGTCAAATTCTGGCCTATGTTTTAGCCATTTTTCTCCAAATAGAAGAAAATATGAAACGCTTCACTTTCATAGTTTAGTGCTTTTTTTAAAAAAAAAACTATTTTAAATCTGGCTTACAGCTGAACTATTTCAAAAAATGGTTTAAAAATTATGTTACTTGATGCTTAAATATTTCATTTCAGGTAGATCTGAAGTGAGGACTTTTGTTGTTATTCAATAGTTTTTTCCATTACTGAAGCACCTCCATATGTGTTTGAGGAAGAGCCAAGAAAGCTCAGAATAGGTTTTTTGGTTATGTTACCACCACAGCAGGAATAGGATCTACATTTGCAAAAATACTTAATGACTTATGAGGTTTTTTTAATAGCTTCTGGTAAAAATAATAATAAAATAATAATAATAATGGAAGTTTTCTGGTGGATAATACTTGAGTTGTGTCCTATGGATGCTACTTTGGCAGTCCTGCAGATAAACTGCCATGTATTTTTGTTTTGATTCTGTTTTGGAAGACGGCACTTTTTTTTTCCAGTCCACTCTGAAGTGAAATTGGAATAGCAGAGATGGAAGAGTTGGAATAATACAGAAAAAATTACTAAGTAATTATAGAGGTAAGTTCTGCTATAGATGCATGGAAAGCAGAATGTTTTGAAGATCTTTTGTGTTCATGTGTAAATCTTGTACCAATTTCACGGTTACATCAAATGTGGTCAGTTCTACTGTTGGCACTGCAGTTGATGGAGCCTTCTGGCCCTTTCTGGCATTGCTAATGTGTGGGAAGCAAAGTTTAGTGCTCAGCCTAGCATCAAGTCAGAGCAAAATCAGATCTTCAGTATTCTTTTGAGATTTCTACTAGTTTGTGTAGTTGGCTTCATCTTCTGCTGGAAAGCTTAAGTACCTCCAGTGTTGTTTCCTGTACCAGAACCATCATAGAGTTGAGGAGCTTTACTCACTTGACAAGAGTAGAAGAAGAGAGAAGACATGCTCCTGGGAACCTCCTTGAGATCAATTTAAAAAATACAAAATTGTTTTACGAGGATCTTCTATGGTCTTGTAAGCAGATGTGCACAAGCCTTTTGATCCAGACAGAACATACGTATGTCTTTGTTGGCTATAAATACTAAAATGTCATCCAAATGCCCCTTAATACATATCTTTATATTCAAAATAGTGCTGACAGCAGGACTAGGGAGATGATCGTCCCCCTGTACTGAGCTCTAGTGAGGCTGCAGCTCAAGTACTTTGTTCAGTTTGGGGCCCTGCACTAAACAGATGGCATTGAGGCCCTAAAACCTTTTCAGAGAAGGGTGACAAAACTGGCGGAGGATTTGGAGCACTGCTCTTATGAGGAGCAGCTGAGGGCATTGGGATTGATCAGTGTGGAGAAGAGGAAGCTCAGGGGAGACTTTAAAGTTCTCTACAACTGTCTGAAAGGAGGTTGTGGTGATATGGGGGTTGGTCTCTTCTCCTGGGTGAGACCACCTCCTCTCCTCATCCAGCTGTAGGATGAGAAGGGATGGCCTGAAGTTGCACCAAGGGAGGTTCAGGTTGGATAGTAGGAAAATTTTCTTCTCCGATAAAGTAATGGGGCATTGGAACAGGCTGCAGAGGGACATGGACTCACTGTCCCTTGGAGGTGTTCAAGAAATGTATAGGTTTGGCACTGACTAACAAGGTTGAGTAAGAAATATTGGTGAAGGTGGATGGCTGGATTAAATAATCAAGAGATCTTTTCCAACCTTAATGACTCTATCATTCTATGGTGAGGGGGAAAAGGAGGAACTGCAGATAGCAATGAAGCTGAAAAATACTGCTGTCCCAGATCTGTGAATCAAGGTGACGCCCATCAACTGCTGTGTTATCTTGCTGTGACTTTTGCATTAGAATGGTGTACTTCACTTTAATCAACTTAGTGCTGACTAATATGCTGTCACCTGTATAAGTTCATGTGAGTGATTCTGAGTTCTCTCAGCTTCTATTTTTCTTAGCTTTATGTCAGCAATAGTACACATTTCTAGTTGTATAGCCTTGTTTTCCAAACATTTCCAGTTTAAAATGTGTCCCTTTGCTTGAGAAGGTGTTGCTGGTTTTCCTTTTCCAAATCATTCTGTCTCTGTATAGAATTTGTATTTTATTTAGAATGCAGTAGCCACTCTTTTCAAATTAAATAAAAACATGTCAGATATTAAGTAGTGTACACTTACAAAGAGGCTGACAGAGTAAATGTAAGATGTAAAATGTGCACGCTTGCTTTTTTGTACTTAATCACAATGACAACTGTTGTGACAAAGTACATTTAAAAAAAATGTAGTTCTGATCTAATCTTCCTTTTTCTACACTGAAGAGACAAGCAATCATGTTGTATTGTGATCTATAGTAAGATCAAGCTACTTTGAAATTTCCCATTTTTTGATTTATATTTCATGAAAACAAGTTGGATACGTAGAAGAAACAAGAAATCCTTCAAGCAAGGAATAAGGCCAAGTTCTAAAACCCTAAAATCTAACAGTACTGTTTTAGCAAATGAATTGCATTAATCACTAAATGGGAAATTATCAGTTTAAAAGCAAAAACGAAGCGGATATACATCACTGGCAATCTAGGGTAGCTAGATTCCTTATTTTTGTGCTGTTTCAATTACAAAAGCAATGATTATTAAGGAAATGATATTATTTCAGAACAGCTTTATACTTTCATAAAGCTATGGCTGGCATATTCTAGCCTGGCATATTCTGCACAACTCAGACCAGTGTAACCTATAATTTACTATCAACATATCTATCTCTGTGTAACATATGGTGAAT